GTGAAAAATCCTTCTCCAAAGACAATGACCTTAAGTAACTCAGCTGCCGTGGTTTCATTTTTAGACACTTCGTGGGGCAAACTTCAGGTGCTGAAATAAAATAGATACTGGGATAATGGGGATCAAGAGACAACTAGGGTAGAGTAGATGTTATAAGGCAGCTGGTGGTGCAGTGGATAGAGCTCTGGGCCTGAGGTCAGCAAGACCTGAGCTCAAATTCAGCCTCAGACACTTAATAGCTGTGTGACCTTGAACAAGTCAATTAATCTCTGCCTCAGTTTCCTTAACTATAAAATAGGGATAATAATAATAATCACATCTACTTCCCAAGAATGTTGTGAGGATCAACTGAAATCTTCATAAAACACTTAGCACAGTGCCTGGAACATAGTAAGTATGTATTATTAACATTTCTCCATCACTTTGTTAAGTCTGCATGATCAGCAAATCGTCCAAATGTGGCATGTCACATCTGCTAGGCCAGTCACATCTCCTCACTGGGCTTTTATTTCCTCATTTTCAAAGCAAAAGCGTTGGACTATTGCATTTCTAACGTTCCTTTTTGCTTCAACATGCTATGATTATAAGAAGCCAACCTAATTATGAAATATTTTAATGGAATCTACTCTTTACTTTATACTCTCAAATAGGTCCTTCTAAGAGCAAGTAAAGATGCTGGCAAAGATTAACCCCTCCCCAGCTGTTCCATTCTGCACTGAAGGCAGAATCTTGTAGAGATGTGGAAAAGCCCCATAGATCAAGGCTCCACATGGTCAAAGTAGGAAACTATCAGAAATTGTTTGTGGTTGGGAGGCTTCCTTTTATTTAAGTACTTTGTAGCAATACAAGAACCATATTAGTAATGGGTAGCAAATATAACGTTCAGTTTCTATTTGCTGGTGGACAGTCTGAAAGAGAGACATCCTTGATTTAACCAACAAGAAACTGATTCACAATTCAAGCACAGAAGGAAGAAATGTGGGCACTTGGGGTTATAGGGTGGCTTCAGAGGAATAGAGATTTGGAAGAGACCTTAGAGGTTGACTATAATCCAGCTGAGAGGATTTTACTAGAGAGAAAGTCTGAGAGATAGATTGCCTCAATAGAAAGAGGGTGGGTGAGCCAGAGGACCTGAGTCCAAGTCCTGCTGGTGCTGACTGTGTGATTTGGAACAAGTCCATAGTCTCAGCTTCTGCATCTCTAGCTTGAGGGGACTGCACTAAGGAACTTATGAGATATCTCTCAGTTCTAGTGGATTGCCCACAGTCACACAAGTAGCATGTCAATCAATAAGTATTTATTAAACTCCAACTGTGTGTCAGGCACTATGCTAAGCATTGGAGATACAAAGAAAGGTAAAAACAATCCTTCTCAAGGAGCATACATTCCAGTGAGGAAGACAACAGGCAAATAGCAAACATACAAACATGATCCAACCAGGAAAAATCAGAGATAATCAAAGAAGGAAGTCACTAGCATTAAGGCAAATCAGGGAAGGCTCCTTATAGACAGTGGGATTTTAGCAGGGATTTGGAGGAAGTCAGGAAATCCAGGAGATAGGGATGAAAAGGAGGAGCATTGCAGGCATGGGGGACAGCCAGAGACAATGCATGAAGATGGGAGATAGATTGTCTGGTGTGAGGAACAGCAAGGAATCTGGTGCCCCTGGATTGCAGAGTGCACGGATTAGAGCAAGGTAAAGACTGGAAAAGAGGCAGAAGCCAAGTTATGAAGAATTTTAAAAGCCAAATAGGAGATTTTCTATCTGATTCTGGAGATGATAGAAAGCCACTGGTGTTTATTAACTAAAGGGGATGATCAGACCTTAACTTTAAAAAGGTCGGTTTGACAATTGAGTGGAAGGTGGACTGAAGTGGGGAGAGATTTAAGGTAGGAAGATTAACTAGAAGGCCAGAAGAACCAGAAATAGATGGTCTTCTGTTCCCAAATCAAGCACAGTTTTCAATAAAATATAATATCTACAAATTTTAATAAATGACCCCTTTATCAAAAGGACAGTGGGCCTTAAATACTCTTTAAGGGGTCATATTTATGGCAATAATAGACAGAGTTTCAAACGTTTGGGATTAATAGATTGATCTGGATACCAGCATTCTTACTCTATAAAATACATTTCAGAAGAGAAAAACACAAAAACTTTGCTTCTTTTTTTGCAGATTTCAAATAAATTTTTTATTAATTTTAACAAAGAGAAATAAAGAGGGTAACCAGCATATTAAACAAAAAAAGTCAGTAATAATAACAATAATGATAAACTGGCTCATTTTGCATCTTTTCCTTAGGGATAAGACTCGACTTTTCTTTCTGAACACAATTCTGAGATGCCAGGAACACTTTCAGTAAATCTCTTTCCTTTGTATTTTCCCAGTTACTTAATTGCTTTTAAAGACACAATACTTCAATAGCACAGCAACTTCCAGAAAGCTCACCAAAGAAAGAGATATTGCCAATGCAAACATTCAAAAAGTGTCTTTCTGAACCAGAGGCTGAGTTCAGTGCAGGACAGATGACTCACTTTGGTTTTTGAGATGCTCAAACACATATTGTGTGAAACGCAGGAGAGGCAGGTTCTGCGACCACCATTTAACATTCTAGAAAACACTTAAAATTCTACCAAGTATGTACCAGATAAAAGACGCATGGCATAGAGAGCATGTCAGAAGGCCCAAACTTGACTCCTGACTCAGAAATTTACCATACAGGGCAGCTAGGTGGATAAAGTGCCAGGCCTAGAGTCAGGAAAACTCTTCTTGAGTTCAGATCTGGCTTCAGACACTTACTGGCTGTGTGACTGTGAGCAAGTCACTTTACTCTGTTTGCCTCTGTTTCCTTATCTGTCAAAATGAGATGGAGAAGGAAATGGCAAACCACTGCAGTATCTTTGCCAAAAAAATTCTAAATGGGGTCACAAAGAGTTGGACACAACTGAACAATCAAAGCAAGGCTAAGACTTTGTTTCCCCCTCTGTAGGAAAGGGACTGTACCTTTGATTTCATTGGTAGAGGCAATTCCCAGAGGAAGGAGCTCTATCTACTTCCTTGGTTCCTCTACCTTCTCTTAGTTCTTCTAATTTCTAGTCTTAGAAAGTTGCCTGGGCACTGAGAGATGGGCACCAACCTACACAATGTCACACAGTCAGTATGTCAGAGGTAAGACTTGAACCCAGATCTTCCTGGCTCCAAGGTCAGCTCTTTATGCACTACTCCATGATGCTTCTCATTTGTACAGGGGGGATAATGATATTTATGCTACCTACCTCCCCTGGCAAATATCTTGTAAATGGTAAAGCATGACTAGTAAGTGAGTGTTACTATGGAGTGAAGGTCATTGGACCTTCAGGCTCAGGCTGAAAAAAGAGACGGAGGCAGAGGAGAGAGAAATAATGACATCTTGACTGAGGAAGGCACATGCCACATTTGGACATTCTCGGTCACTATAAATGAATGACATTCTAGCTGGATTTTGCTGACCTGATGGTTAAAACATCCCACATTTTCCACAAGACTGGTGCTACTTTCCTGTATGGCATAATAAAGCAATCCTTTTTTGTCCAATTGCCTAAATGGATGTCACCAGCAAAGTTCTCACGCTTACCTATTTAGATAATAATAAAGAGGAGGAAACTGACATTTAAAAAGCACTTTAGAACTAGTGCAAATCTTATCAGACACTTACTGGCTATGTGATCCTAGGCAAGTCACTTACCCTTTATGTGCCTCAGTCTCCTCATCTGTCATGTTATTGACTAAAGGGGATTATCATCACCTAACATCAACACCTAACAACCTTCCTGGAGTTGTGAGGATAAAGTGAAATAATGTTTGTAAAGCAATAAAGCTCCATATAAGAGTTCTCATCATCACCATCCTCATCATCACATTTGATCCTCATCTCCTTGAGGGCAGAGACTGTTTTATTTTATCTTTTTATCATCCTTCCTTGTAGGGTGTCCAGAACATAGTAGGCACTTATTAACTGTTTCTTAATTGATCCATATCAAAATCCTGCGCTATAAATACTGAGTATTACTAGTCCCACTTTGCAGATGAGGAAAGTAAAGCTTAAAAAAGATGAGGTGAAAGCAATTTGTTTTGCTTCAACAGTTAGTAAGTTTCAGAGCCCGAAGTCAAACTTTGGTCTTTTTTTAATTCTAAATCCAGCATTCTAGCCACTATACTATGACCGCTGGATTTGGGGGTGAGATTTTTCATTTTAAAAATGAGATATACTGCTCATTTCACAAAGAGGAGAAAAGAGAAAAATCACATAAAAGTATCAGTAATAATAAAAAGATGCCAAATTGATTTATTAATTACCTAATAAGATGGAGACCATGACTTCACTTACCATTTACAAGCCACATTTATGTTTAAGTTTTTGAAGGTAGGCATGAAACATTTTATGGAAAGGTAGACATTGGAATTCTGACCAATCCTTGGTGCTTCTAATTAAATTCATAGGATCATAGATTTGGAATTGGAAGGGACATTCAAGGCCACATAGTCCAACCCTGTGATTTTACAGATCAGGAAACTGAGCCCTAGAGAGGTCAAATGGCTTATCTAAGGACACACAAGCAGATGAGAGAACAGGATTTGAACTCAGGTTCTCTGCTTCCAGAAGCAAAATATTTTGCTATGCTGCTTCTCCTGAGTCAATCCCTACTACTTTTAAGTTGTTGCCTTATTTGAAAATAGAAGCAAAGGAGAGACAAACTTGGAAACAGAACAAACTGATTCGGCCACAGAGACTCCTTTGCAGATTAGGAAGCTGATCCTCAGAATGACTTTCTTAAGGTCACCCTGGTAGACAACAGAGTAGGATTTGAACCCAGCTCCTCTGACCTCAGTGCTGTGTCTCTGGTTCAAACCTTACTAATAACAAGTCATTACCTATTTGAAAACAGAGGAGTAGCAAAGGCAGACTTGGAAATGAAACAAGCAGGTTTGGAGGCATCTACTCCTTTCCCAGGCACATACCTTGCAGTTTCTGGTTGTATTCAGTTCTGTCAGACTGGCTCCTTCTCAAGGGGCCCGAGTTACCATGGTCCACAGCAACACTACTCTCCACAACAGTGTCAGTCTTCCTCCTCTCCAACATGTAGAGTCTCTGTCTCAGAAAGGTCAAATTCTTTCTCTTGGTCCCCATGTTCTCTTTTCCAAAAGCTTCCTTGGTTTCCATCTGCACCAGATGTAGGTAAATCCCAGGAACTGGCCAAAGTAGATAGCTTGACAATTCACTGAGGGGGCGAAGGTTAAAGCTGCCAGTTTACCGGCCCCTTTTAATTAGACAACTTTGCTTCTGGATTACCTGGCTGTGACGGACACCTCTCCAGGATCCCGGCGCTCCACCCCGATGAAGTCATTCTTTTCTGTACCTAGAGGCTGACTGGGGATCCTGCCACCTGTTACCTGAGAGACCTGAGCTAGGCAAAGCAGGGGCTGCCCTGTCACATGCTCCAGAAGCAAACAAGAATCCCATTGTATGTGTGGGTGGGGGTGGGGGGCATGAAGGTGGGGCATGGGGGGCTGAGGGACCTATATCATGTCTGTGTTGCTCTATAATTGATATTTAAGCTTGCAATCTGTTGGGGCTTACAGTATGCATGCTTTTACTGTACAGGGGTGTATTGCTTGGGAGGCAAACTTGGACATGTGTCTGACTTTTAACTGGAATTCAATTCCTCGAGTGATACCTTTGGTGGGGAATCGGGCAAAAATTCACACCTGAATCATCCTTAGCTAAGGAGCCAGCTGGGCATGCCCAGAGAACAATGCTTTTTAGAAATGAAAATAGAACAAACAGGAAAACTATAGACATGATCACGACATAAATGGAAATTTATGTCACTACAGCAACAAATTGAAAGTGATTGGTGTGTAATTACAGTGACCAAGCTTGTCCCGAAGAATAGATATGAGAAGGCACTTCACTCCTTCCTTAAAGAGATGGGGAAGGGAAGTACTAGGAAGCAGAGAACTGCATATGCTGTTAGACTGTTGATATATTGTTAATTTTCCTGAACTATATTTTTTTCTTTTTTCTTCCTTATTCAAAAAAGCGGAGGGGAGATACGAAGAGGTTGAGGAAGAACATATTGAGAGATGAAGGCAAAGTAGAAACAAAAGATATTTTTAAAAATCCTTTTTTAAAAACAGACCATTTGCAGAAAACGAATGATTTACAAACTTTAACCTGGATTATTGTATGGAGGGAAAAAAACTCCCTCCTTGTCCCCTGGCTGTGTAAATTAAGGATCAGGTTGACTTGTCCCATTGGGAGGAGAGACTGGCATTTGAGAATTGCTCTGCACTGGGTCAGAGTGACCCCTGGCACATCACGTGCGTTGCTGGTGGGGGGAGGGGAAGGCAGAAAGACGGGGCTTCTCTTCAGGCTTCAGAAGTTAGTCTCCCATTCAGGACAGCAAGCAGTGTATTTGCTTGTGGTTAATCCTTTCACAGTTCTAATTCCTACCCTTCCGGGTCCAGGTCCTTAACAAAATAAGCCTTAGAATTGTGCAGAAGAGCTTTGATTTCATGGAGGTTTTTATTTAAAGACTGAGAAGCAGAAAGAGGCATGAGTTTACCTGGAGAAAAGTCAGAGCCAGGGTGGGAATTTGGAGTGGGACCACATCCACAGATTTCACTGCTTTAAATAATCTGGGACACCAAAGAGGAAGGGAGGGAGGGAAGGCATGTGCATGTAGGGGACACTGGACCTTTCATTTGAATATCTTTCATCCATCTTAATTTGAAGTTGTTTTTCTCAGTTGCATATGCTGAGATCTCTGGGGGGAATTCATCTAAACTCTGGGAATAATAGTCTAAGCGTTTGTGTGGGAAATCAGAGGCTCCAAAGGCTTTCTGAGATTTGTGCCTCCTATAGCAAAACCAAGCTTTGTTTACCATCACCACCTTTGTAAATTTGCCTAGATACAAGCTTTTTTGTTAAAAAAAAAAAAGAGTTATAATCAATAACTTTAGAGCTCAAGGAAGGAGTGAAGGCTGTTGGGTCATGAATTCTTTGGCCCAGGCAGCCCAGGAAACAAAGCAAAACATAAAATAGCTCTTGATCAGCAAGTAAACAAACATTTATTAGTGCCTACTATGTACCAGCTTTATATAGTTTTACACACACACACACACACACACACATCTGGGTAGTATGTTTCTGGAATCATGGTTGACCATTATGTTGATCACAATTATGCTGATCACAGTTGATCACAATTCCTAAATCTTTCAACCTTGTTTGTCTTTATGGTGTTGTCATTGTAAAAAATGTCACTTCACTCTGCACCAGTTCATGTAAGTTCATGCAAGAGTTCCTAGGTTTCTCTGAAACTATCCAATTCATAATTTCTTACAGAACAATAGTATTTCTTTACATTTATATATACCTAGTTCAGACATTCCCCCAATTGATGGGCATCTCAGATTCCCATTTTTTGCCATCTCAAAAGAGGTGTTGATATTTTTATATATGCTTAGAGTTTGTTTTGCTTAGGACTAATTCCCTCTTTACCCTTCTCCCCTTTCCCTCCTATTCCCCTGGAGAGTGAAAGGTATTACTGTACTTAACTCTCTTTGTGTATGTGTGTATATGTGTATTCTTCCTTCCTTTGACCAGTTCAGATGAAAGTGAGGTTCAAGTGTCAACTGCTACCTTCCTTATTGAGACTTCTACTTGCTCAACCCAATTATACGAGATAATTTCCTTTAATCTGCTTTTCTCTTTCCTCTCTAGCATATTACTCTTCCCCTCTCTTTTCCATTTTGCTTTTAAGATCTTCAAGACATAATGGATTCATTCCTTGCCCTTCTGTATAATTAGACTTCCTCTATAATCCCTGATATGTTAGGGTTCTGAAGGGACACATGTAACACCTCTTCATATATGAACATAAATTGTTTATCATTGCTTAATCCCTTATGATCATTCATTTATATTTACCTTTTTATGTTTCTCTTAACTCTTGTGTTTGAACTTCAAGTTTCTCCACAGTTCTGGTCTCTTTATCAAGAATCTTAGGAAGTTTTCTATTCCATCAAAGATCCATCCCACCCCTCACGCTCCCGTAGCATTAAACTCAACTTTGTTGGGTAACTTATTCTTGGCTGTGAGGCTATGTCCTTTGCCTTCTGAAATATTATATTCCAAGATCGCTACTCTTTTATAGATGGGGGGGATCCATACTATTTATTTTTATTAATAGGTATACATTTCAAAAAGGATTTGGAGACTGCTGGTATACTTAACACAGAGCTAGAAACAAGACATAAATGAAGAGCTTGAGAAACATCACAAAGCTGGCAAAGAGTGGTAATATGTTGATGAGGGACTATACTGTCCTGATATCTGCTGGAGCTTGCTGTTGGACAACAATAAAAATGTTGAATGAGTTGCCTTCATCAAAATTTCATACTTCAAAAAGTGGAGGAAATAATGAAGAAGATGGTTATTCTGATTCTCAACAGAGAAACTGCTGCTAACATAAAAATGATGGGAACTTGAGAAAGAAGGGAGCCCTTTGTCTCATGTAGCTGCTAAAGGGAATGAATAGGGCTTATCCAAATTAAAAAATAAGGCAGCTAGGTGGCACTGTGGATAGAGTGCCAGACCTGGAGTCAGGAAGACCTGAGTTCAAATGTGGCCTCAGACACATACTAGCTGTGTGACCCTGGGTAAGACACTTAACCCCTTTTGCCTCCATTTCCTCATCTGTAAAATGAGCTGGAGAAGAAATGGCAAACCACTAAAGCCAAGAAAACCCCAAATGGGATCATGAAGAGTCAGGCAGCACTGAAAACAACAACAAAAGGAAAAACATGCTCAGTGTATTTGCGTGATGGTCACGACATGAACTTTGAGAAATTCTTATTGAATTTTAAGTTGTCTTTTGTCTTTTTGATATCTATAGAATAAAGCCATAGAATCTATAGAATGAAGACTTTAAAGCTAGAGGGGACTTTAGACATCACTTGTGGATTCAGCATTTCACAGGCTGTATGAATGGAGAAGTTAAATGACTTGCATGAAGTCACACAGCTAAATTAGTGACTTAGGCAGGACTACAACTCGGCTCTCTCAAACTTCTAACCTAGGCCTGTACAACCTGCAGTTACCCTCTACATTTTGTTCTAATCGAATGTTCTTTTCATTGCAGTAGATTTGACTCTGAAAACTTATGCTTTGTTTTGCATAGTCTTGACTCTTGAATACACAATTTCTATTGCTATACTGGCTTGACAGGAATGTTAACATACAATGACAATATACAATGAATGATTAGGACAAAACGTCAAGAGGGATAGAAACTGTCTTTTTGTTACCTCGAAGGAGATAATCTTAGGAATGATGCTTTTTAACAGCTTTTAGGAATGATACTTTCATGATTTTCAAATTCAGTGGGAAGAATATTTTTTGGAAGTGGGAGGGGAGAAAATTTTTACGTGTCAAACTGTCTTTGATCAAGAGCAACTGAACAAAGAGGAAAGGGCTACAGTGTAAGACTCAGGAACCTTTGGGAGACAACGCAAGGGACCAAATCAGGCCAATAGATACACAGGAAGATGTTCAATCTCCTGGTAAGGGATGAACTACAATATCTGTAGGAGAGCAGCAACTTGATTCCAAACTATTGTTATGCAGGGCAGCATGGGGCCAGGGAATAATGTTTCATTTGAGGGAGGAAGGGTATACTGGGTCTTCCTAACTCACCTGGAAGAAGCTGCCACTCGAAGGCTCAATTCCAACCCCTGATCTGCATAGAAGCTTTGACCTTCTCTAAGGGGCTCACTATATTGGTGTCAGATTTGGTATAGACAACCTGATTCTCTTAGCCCACTGAAGCTCAGAGCTCCAGAGCTTCAGCTCCACCAGTCTCTTTTTCTTTTTTCTTTTTTTTTTTTTTTGGTTGGGCAATGGGGGTAAGTGACTTGCCCAGGGTCACACAGCTAGTAAGTGTTATGTGTCTGAATCCGGATTTGAACTCAGGTCCTCCTGAATCCAGGGCCGGTGCTTTATCCACTGGGCTACCTAGCTGCCCCAAACTCCACCAGCCTCAAGCACCCAAGTAATACAGACTACAGGTTGGTGCCATCATTCTCATTTACCAAAGAGAATCAGTGAAGATCATGTTGAGTATAAAACATACATTTTAATTTCATACATACATATGTATATGTATGTATATAATAGATACTGTGTATATATGTGCATGTATGCACTATATACACAACCATATATCTATAGACATATGCATGTGTGTATAGTGCATATATACATAATTGGAGGTAGGTGGAGGAAAATATAAAACTAACAAATTTAAATATTAAAATATTAAACAATCCAATAAAATGGGGTG